CTGTGTAAGGCTTATTTTGTGGGAAATGGGCCTTTTGAAAAATAAAAAACAGAACTTGAACTCCTGCGCCCCCACCTGTCTCTTCTGCCCGCCCCCGCTATAATACAACTGTAGCTTCTCTAATCTCATTTCAGGCCTGTCTGCTTGCAATGACTTCATGTCCAGATTTTCTTAAATGGAATACCTATTGGAAGTCTCCAAACTCTGCAGTCACTCTTTTAGTGAAAAAACCACAGAAGGTTTATCATCTAGGGATAATCATGGATGTTTTATACATAACTCTGACTTGTTTAATACTCTTAATAGAATACTATGTCTCTTGTTTTAAAAATTATAAGGGAGAATTTTACTTTTTATTAATAGGTCCTATTGTAGGGTATTCTAAATCTTTGAGCTACAGGTAGATAAATAAAACTTTTTACATTTGTATGCACTATTGAGAGAAAAGCCTACACAAAGTATACTTAAATGGGCACTCTCACATTCTTAAATGGGCACTCATAACATCTTTATCCCATGGTGTGTGTGTTTTAATATAATTTTTCTTTATTGATTTTTTCAGAGAGAGAGGAAGGGAGAGGGAGAGAGATAGAGACATCAATGAGAGAGAACATCGACTGGCCGCCTCCTGCATGGCCCCCACTGGGAATCAGGCCCACAACCTGGGCATGTGCCCGGACCAGGAATCAAACTGGTGACCTCGTGGTGCGTGGGTCGACGCTCAACCACTGAGCCACACTGACCAGTCTGGTGTGTGTTTTTCAAATCTTCACTACTAGTAGTCTAGAACACCTATAGCATCCAATGGCAGTCTTACACTCTTAACAAATAAATGCAAAAGTTTTCTACTATAATTATAAAATATATGTTAATTTTCATGCAAAAAGACATATACAATTTTGTCACTAGATTCAAGCATTAACAAACTAAAGGAAAAAAAGTTAGCAAGTAAAATATACACCTCAAAATTATTTTTCCCTTATACAGAAAAGAAATATGAATAAAGAAGCGGAGCATAAGAATCTGTCCTCCCACCACGCAGTGAAGCTTATTTGTTACTTATATAAAGAGGAACAAAGTAAACAGTTCTAATTCAACCTACCCCTCGGAGTTTAAGTAACAGGGGAAAAAAAGAGGGAAATAATGACTGTTCCCTGGTGGGATTTCTTATTTTGCTTAAAAAGCAGTTGACTATTAAATCACAAATCACTAGTTGCCTAAAATAGCTTTTAAAACCCTAATTATAAAATAGCCTACTCTGATTTTTAAGACACTATTTATAGTCATTCTTGAAATGCACTTCTTGTAGCAGAGTTCCTTTTTTTTTTTCCATTTCTTTCCTTTCCCCTTCTTTATCTTTTTAATTTTACAAACTTTCTAACAGATTAAATACCCTGAGAAAACTAGGAGATATTTATAATGGAACAACAGGTCCATAGAAACCCAAATTCAATTACCTCTTGTATAACTATGCCTTAGGCAAGCTTCAACTAGTTTTTAAGTAAGAAGGTTATGCCTGCTCAAGAATTTTATTCAGGCACAAAATTTGCATTGCCTACCCTTACATTTCCCCACAATCTTCCTTCTAGATTTCCTCAATCATAATTTTGTCATTCTCCAACTTGGAAAACATCTGGCCACCAGAACACAGTCCGAAGCTGTTGGGAAGCCTGTCCCTGTCCTCCTGTTCAGCACAGTAACTCACAACCCACTGTTCCATTGTTTGTAGGCTCCTCGGATGTGTTCTTATTTTAGGCTACTCTTTCTTTTATTTGGGGTAATGTCAGTATATTGCATAGGCTAAAATTTCAAGCCTACCTTTGACTTTTTGAAGTTCTTTTTGCCCTTTCCAGGTATATATCCAATAACTAGGTATTAGTTTGTACACGGGGTAACTATTTTTCAAAATAATCAGTTTCTACACAAAAATAAAATACTTCAGCTATTATTGATTTAAAGTATTGAATTATTGCTTATATTTTCAAAGAGAAAAGATTTCTAAAGAGAAATATAAAATATTTGAAAATATGACAGCGAAATAGCAAACATTGTGTTTGCTTGTCCACATAACTCAAGGCTTATCTGCAGATTCTCCAAGACATAAAGAAGGACAGCTCCTCTATAATTAAGTGAAAATTCTGTAGCATTGTGATCATAAACAAGTCTCCTATTTTTAACTTCCATTTTTGACAGAATAATAATATGTTTCCCCTTGCTTATTTAATCTTATAGGTAAGTGACAACTTATTCTGTTGTGAGAGAGAATGAACTTCTGCCTTTAAAAAGCAACACAAGTAAAAATGTCAATATCAATACAATTGAATACTTTCTGAACCCTTCTACATACCTAGCATCCTGTTATAGGGTACAAAGAAATATGACATTTCTTTGCCTTCATTGTACTTCTAAGTAATTCAGAAAATAAAATATATGAGAAAAATAAAATACAAAATGATTTATGTTCAAGAGTTATTGGAAGGCTATTGTTCATTCATTCAACAAATATTTATCAAATGCCTACTATGTGCTAAGCACTCTGCTGAATTCTGGGTATTTAAAAAATAAGGGTATTTAAAAACAGAAATGGTTACTTTATTCTAGGGAGATGAGGCTGGAAATGTGGGTAGGGATTGGATGATGTAAGGTCTTGATCTTTATCCTAGGAACAATGGGAAAGCACTGAAGGTTTTAAAACAAGGGATTGACAGTTGTGTATTTCTTTTTAATATTTTTTTATTGATTTTTCTTTTTAGAGAGAGAAGGAGAGAAAGAGAAACATTGATTGGTTGCCTCCTGTACACCCCCTAATGGGGATTGAGCCCAAAACCCAGGCATGTGCCCTGACCAGAAATCCAACCAGGACCTCTCAGTTCATGGGACGATACTCAAACTACTGAGCCATAGTGGCTGGGCCAGTTGTGTATTTTTCAAAGACCACTCTAAATGCAATGAGTAGAATATACGGGAGGGAAACAAAATGTGAGATGGGAGGCAGCAAAAAGCCATGCAATATTATAGGCACCAGACAAGGTATTAAAGATTCTGGTGCTGGTGCTGGTGGTGCTGATGGTGCTGGTAGTCATGGTAGTGGAGGTAGTGCTGGTGCTGGTGGTCATGGTGGTGGTACTGGTGGTAGTGATAGTGGTGCTGGTGGTCATGGTTGTGGTAATGGTGGTAGTGATGGTGATAATGGTTGTGGTGCTGGTGCTGGTGGTAGTGATGGTGCTAGTGGTAGCAACGGTGATGGTGTTGGTGGTGTTAAGACAACAATAATACACACTGCAATGCTTAAGAAAAAAGAAAATCTGTTGAAGGGTCTAAAGCAATAGTCTATGAGATAGTGAAAGCCTTGGCTGTGATAGAGTAAGAATTGTTGATGAAAGGAAGACAGCAATGAAGTGAAGGGCACCAACAGTATTTCAGAAAGAGTTCACAGGACTTAGCAAGATAATAAGAATGAACTCCAGAGTGGAGATTCAAACTCTTCCACTGAGATTTTGACTAATGTGATAGCTTTGGCTCTGAGCTAGGCTTTCCACTCGTTTTGTTCTAATTACTTACACCATCTCGTGACCCATTATTTCCCATATGCACAACAGTCCTAGGAGTCAGAAAGAAAGCACGTTCTATCTTCTGTCATCACAAAGGCTGCCCTTGACCCCACAGAATGAGAACCCGCAGGTTACACTGCAATGTAAAGATAGACATTACTACAGTCATTGCTCTCCAATCATTGCAGCAAAACGTACACATGGTTTTTGAGCACTCTGTCAGTCCACAACGATTCTGTTAGCAAGAAACAGAAAACCCAATGGTTGAAAAAAACAACTCCAGAAGAAGCAGTTAGTAGTGTTGGTTCAGCTGTTCATCAGTAACAGGGCCTAGACCTGTGTGTTTCTCTGGACTTGATGTTTTACAACATGGTCACAAGATGGCTGCTGTACCTCCAAGTATCACATCCTCATTCAAGACAGCAACTGTGTGGAAGGAGAAGAGGGACAGGAATTTCTCTCTTGATCAATACAGAACATGTCTTCTTGAATTGCTTACCCAGCAGACTTCTTACAGTTTGTGGGCGAGAATGGGGTCACCGGCCTCTCATGTGGCCCCATTCTGGCCCATAAACTATAAGAAGAAAGGAATACTGGGAGAGTGAACATTTGATGTTCTTTTCTCTATTTGTGAAGCACATCAAAAAAGAAGAAAGTTAAGAATGTTTTTTAGGCCACCAAGCAGAAGGGCCTTCCATAAAAACCAGTTTTACAGTGTACTCTGTGATTGCTATTTTGTGTTTGACATTGTATTTATCTCTATCCTGTGTGTTGCTTCTTCTACCATTTAGGATACTATTTGCATGACTGAGTACCAATTTTTAAAATAGATATTTTATTCTTTTTTTTTTCATTAGCCACTAATAACACCTGCTTAACTTCAGCAAAGATGCTATAATGTTGGTTTGTCTGAGTAGGCAACACATACTGACTAGAAAGGATATTACTTTCATTTATGTCTAATTACCTTGGCAAGCATTACCCATGTGAAATAAAATATAGCAAAAGTAGCAGATGATTCCAAGGGGATTTAGTAAAAGTATTATGTTTTATCTTGTATGGGGTGTGATAGAGTCTCATGTAAGGATATATTTCCAAGAGACCTCATCCCCTTGACTTAGAAATTTAGCATCAAAATGTAGCACCTGTATATAAAATTAGTAATTATATCACTTGATGCAATGTTTGGGGAAAAAATGGTCAATTAAAGCAATATGAATTCAACAGGATCCTCTGCAGGCAGCAGCATCATGCAATTCTGACTTCACAATGACATGAAATTGTAAATGACAACTGCTAAATCAGGAAGCAGCAAGCCCAGGCCAAGTTTAAATTTAGTAACACTGCTAGTTTACTGAAAATAACCTTCTCTATAACAGATACTCTGAATTTCAGGTAGCTGACTACTTGTTTTTCTATCCTATTCAGAGATAATCAGGTACCCAGAGGCCTCAGAATTGTCTTCCCTTCTCAATGCTGTTTCTGGTGTCCACTGAACGAGTCTCCTTGTCCAACCTTGAAGCAGTCGGAAGTTAAACAGAATCCACTTCATATATTCTTCTTGAAAATCTCCATCGTATATGTTCAGAACTTTCTGAACAAGCATAAGGATTTGAAGGTAAGTGAAGTTTGGAAGTAACTGGATTTTTGCATAACTCTTAACTACATCAAAAGTGAATATTTAATATATTTTAACAAAATATACAAAAGTAGCCCTGGCCAGTTTGGCTCAGTGGTTGGAGCGTTAGCCTGCGGACCAGAGAGTCCTGGGTTCGGTTCCCACCAGGGGCACATACCAAAAAAAAAAGAAAAAAAAATATACAAAAGTGAAAGCAGTTATTGACTATAAGAAAATAGCTAGCTATGTAAGTTCCACAACAAAAGAGGGACATAAAATACAAAGTTTAAAAGTTGTATGTCATTTAAATGTATGTACAAGCAAGGCACACTGGTGATCTTGATATCTGATCATTGGTTTTTCGTAAAATAGTGTCACATACTATTTTAATCCTCAAATTTAAATGTGCATAAGAATCACATGGAGGTAGGGGGAGGCCCTTAAAATGCTGATTCCTGGGTGTATTTCACAGAGAGATTCACTAGGTCTGGGATGTGGCCCAGCAATCTGCATTTTTACAGTTACTCACCCCACGTGATCCTGATGAAGGTGGGTCTGGAGCTTTTGCAAAACAATGAACCATATTAAATGGGGTTTTATGTTGTTTCCTGCAGTCACAAGAATAAATAAGAAAGAGTGGTTTTAGCACAGAGGTGCTAAATTAGTGCTTTCTTTTTGACCTCCTCAATTTGAATTCTTAATTCTCTTTGATATTCCCTTTAAAGGTTCAGTGTGATGAGCTCATTCCCAGGTGTCCCTATTTCTCTTTCAGAGTGACCATCCTGTCACTGCTCTCTTAGCTGTTTCTCTCTTCTGTGTGAAGTAATTTATGCAAATGTTTATGGTTATTGATCTAATTCTAAGAAATAACTACACAATGAAAATAATGAGTTCTTACCAGGGTTGGCTAGGCATTTCTACATTTTTTAGTGTTTTTTTCCTCTTCATTTTGAAAACTCAGCCTTAGACTTTAAAAGGACAGATCTGCTTAATACATAGTCAGTTACTCTTTTCTTTGCAAATAAAAACAAACCATTATTATATGAAATGATTAAGGGTCTTTTTGAAGAAAAAGATAAAATATATGAACAAACAAAATGGCAATGAATACATATATACATATCTATCAACAATGGAATCTACAAACAAAATGAACAGGCAGAACAGAAACATTCTCATAGATACAGAGAACATTTTGTTGGTTGCCAGATGGGAGGGGGGTTGGGGGAATGGGTGAAAAAGGTGAAGGGATTAAGAAGTACAAATTCATTGCTAGACTGACAAACCTCAAAGAGAAAGGGGTTGGGGGGTGGGAAGAAATAAACCAAAGAACTTGTATGCATAACCAATGGACACAGACAATAGTGTGGGAAAAGGTGGGAGGGGGCTGGAGGGGGAAGGAGGGGGTCAATGGGGGGAAAATGAGGAACATCTGTAATACATTCAACAATAAAGATTTTTTAAAAAACATAAATTATGTGATATATTTATAACAGATTATGTGAACATTTATTATCAGATTTTTGTATTTCTGTCTTCTATATCTCATTTAGCAACTTCATTTTTATTGTGTGCAATATTAAGTTTTTAAAATGTTCGCTTTTTTTTTTTTTTTATCCTCACCCGAGGATATTTTTCCATTTTTTGTACAGATAGAGTGGGAGGGAGAGGGAGGAAGGGAGAGAGAGAGAGGAACATCGATGTGAAGGGACACATCGAGTGGCTGCCACCCGCACAACCAACCAGGGCCGGGGACAAACTGCAACCGAAGTACATGCCCTTAGCGGGAACCGAACCCGGGTCTCTCCGGACAGCAGGCCGACGCTCTAACCGCTGAGCCAAACTGGCCAGGGCAAAATGTTCGCTTTTTTAATTTGCATGAAAGAATTGATTAGTAGCACAACATATTAAGACCTTAAATTGTGATGATTCCTTACAAGTACATATGATGTGATTTTTACAGTAAAGAGTGAAGTTTTTAATTAAAGCCCTTTCATGAGTTTCTGGCTTGTAGACATGTTCTCTCTCTCTGTCACTCTGTGTGTGCGCTTGTTCATACTGTATAAAAATTTTTGTCCATAAAATATCAAAAGGTAAAAATAAACCCTTAACCAAAAAGAAGTATATTCTTATAGTGCCAGTGAGCCACATATATTAGTTCTCAGTCTTACACAAAGAAATATAGTCATATGTATAAAATAAGGCAGCACTTTGTCAAGTAATCAAAATTAGAGATTTATGGAATCGGATTGACTATGATTATACATTTCACATGCATTTGTTGTCAGACTTGATCTTAATAGTAAGCTTGCCATACCTGATGATAAACCCTAAAATATGTAGTCATAAAGTCAAATAAGGTCATACAGTCCTCCAGTATGTAGTCCACAATTTTATATTCAATAAAATTTCCAAGTTAGATTTAAATTAGTATAAATCTGTATTATTTTAATTTGAGAAAAACATAGAAACTGCTGTTTTGCTCTCCCCCCCCCCTTTTTTTTTTTTTTTGGCTTTTTCTTTTTTTCAGTCATTAGTAGATCATCTTCCACATCATTAATTGAGAACCGAAAACAGAAAATTTAGGTTTATTTCAGGCTGGGTTAACTTTATCTGGAAATCTGATATTGAGAGGGAAATAGAGCTAAAAGTAAGGTACAGTTTTTGAAAAGTGGAGCCATCTGGGACCCAGTAGGGAGAAAGATTTAAATATGCAAGAACCTCTGGGGAGTATTAGTGTTATTATGAAAGAGTATAATAATGATATTTGTGAAGTATCCTAAAAGATTAAAATGTGTTTATTATTCTCAATTTAAGAAGTTGGGAAGTCATTAAAGTTTATGTAACAAAGGTATAATCACTGACATGGGGAAATGCTCACAATATATTGTAAATAAAAACAAGTTATAAACCATAGTAGGATGTGGTCCCATGTTTATTTAAAAAGCTAGAGAAGCATAGGAAGAAAAACTGCAATAATATACACCAAAATACTATTAATGATTATGCTCAATTGATGAAATTATGGTTGATTTTTATTAATTACCGTTCAGGGTTTGTAAAACTTTTTCTAAAGTATGTATTATTAATGTAATTTTAACATTTTTTGTTGTTGTTAATCCTCATCCAAGGATATTATTTCCATGGATTTTTTTTTTTTTTTAGAGATAGTAGAAGGGGCTGGGGGAGAGAGAGAGAAACAAACATCAGTGTGAGAGACACGTTGATTGGTTGCCTCCCACAGGATCCCTGACTAGGGACCAGCCGTCGAACCTGCAACTGAGGTATGTGCCCTAGACTGGTAATCGAACCCAAGACCACTCCCCTGCTCCATTCAAGGACCAACACTCTAACCACTGAGTATGTCAGCCAGGGCTAATTTTAACAAATTTTTAGGGACTTGAAAATATTCAGTGATCTGGTTAATTCACTTTTATAGAACTATTAGTTAGTTGTGCTAATGGTTTGTTTATAGTTTCAAATTATAATGAGTAATTCCTTAGGAATAGTCTTCATTTCTTGTATCATATAATGTGCTTTCAAGACTTTTCTAACTAAAACAGTTTGCTCCATTTGGAGGATAATTTTGTATGTTTGCTTACATTCGTGTTAATATGTCTTTGTTCTTTAAATTTGCAGTGCACATACGGTTACTCTCACCATTATTACTACCAGCTGCGGTTGGCCTATGATTTTGTTCATTCTGTCTGAATCCAAAGTAATTAGCTCTTTAGTTTAATGACAATATTTGTTAATGGGTGTTTAGGGCCAAATTCTGCAGTTAGAGAGTGGGTGGTGTATTTGAAGATAGAATCTGGCCCTTATGTTTTAAGCATAAGCTGTGTAATTTGATTTCAAGAGGCTGGTTTGGGCAGTTTGGAATAGGAAAACTAACTGTGCATTTATCTGGAGTTTCCCAGTTTCAAGAAACACAAAATAACAGTAACAATTTATGTAAATGAACAGCAAACCCACTGAAAGTTCTCTGATACAGCTATCCTGCATGTATCATTCCCTACAGAGCTGGAATGAGAAACGGAATGATAATTATCAAGCAGATATTAGGTGAACTCTTTCATGTGACAGGGCATACAGTCAGTCCTTTCAGAGCACTGCATTTTTTCCAGCTTTAATGAGATGTAATGGACATATAACTTTGTATATGTTTACGGTTTACAATGTGATGATTTGATACATGTATATATTACAAAATTGATACCTCAGTAAGGTCAGTTAATACATTCATCATATAATTAGGAGAGTAGAACTTAAATGTTCTCATCGCATGTACAAACACAAGCACACACATGCACAAAATGATCATTGTATTTTTTAAGGACTCAGTGCAGTGAAGTGGAAAGAATTCTTGCCTGGGGATCACTGGGTTCAAGTTCAGACTTAGCTATTAGTGGCATGACCTTGAGGAGATCTTAACACCATCAGAGTGGGCCCTTACAGCTCTGTATAACTCTAACTTGCTTTACATGAGTACTTTGAGGAGGGTGTAAGGAGGGCAAGGAAGATAACAGTGGTATGAGCTAACTGAATAAACAAATTAATTCTACTGAAAGATACTTGGGAGATATTGTCACCTTAAGAACTTTCCTTCAATGACTTGTTTCTTTTATCCTAGAGAAGAGAAATATTCACTGGGTTTTATATAGAAGAGACTATAGGATGCTCTATTAGAAATTTTCAAGGAGAAAAATTTTGGCAAAACTTAAAAAAAAAAAAAGCTGCCTAGTAAAAGTTGAGATATCCAACAATGACTAAGGAGATCATGAACTCACCATCATTATAGGAAAGAAAGTGGGTACCAGGCATTTTATAACCAGCCAAACTTCCTTTCAAAGTATAAAAGCTCAAGGCAAATATTCCAAACCTAGAGGAACCCAGGAAATGGTGTTATCATGAGCTCTTATTGAGGCAGCTATTAGGGGACAGACTCCATCAAACCAGTGAGCATTTAACTGTAAACTAAATCTAAAATACAAGGTAGA